CTCAGAATAACCCTGAAAACCCCAGAAGACCTTGATAATGCCGATACACTCCTTTACCACCACCATTCAACAAGCAGTCTGGACTGCTTGCTCCACTAATCATTCCCCACTAATTCCTAAGAAAAATAAGTTACCTCAGCACATCCTCGAGTTAATCCAAACCAAACGCGCATCCAGATTGTTATGGCAACGCACCAGACATCCCACAGATCGCCGTTGCTATAATTATTACTCTAAACAAGTTAAGCAAGAATTATCCAACTTCAAATCCTAATCCTTTAACTCTTACCTTGTCTCTCTCTCCGCTCACGACAATTCCCTCTGGAATATCACCAAAAAAATTCTAAAATCCCAAAATATTTCCCGTCCCCTCTGTTGAGGCGATGGCTCCTGGGCGGCGTGAAGACAAAGCTGAGGAATTCGCCAAACACTTCTCCTGTACATTTGCTCCTCATCCTGACTCCCATTCCATCCATACTACAAAAGTAGAAAAATTACTCTCCTCAGCAATTCCACTTTCCCTACCACCAAAAGCAGTTCATCCTTCTGAGGTCAAATATCATTTACAAAAATTATCTTCCCGCAAATCTCCTGGATACGACCTTCTAACCCCACAGATCCTTCATCAACTACCACCCAAAGCGATCATGTTCCTCACATATATATACAACTGCATCCTAAGAACTATCCATTTTCCTCTCTTATGGAAACATTCCACCATCGTCCTTTTCCTGAAACCAGCCAAACCTTCCAATAACACATCATCCTATTGACCAATCAGCCTACTCCCAATCCTTTCAACAAAAATATTTTAAAAAATCCTATTAAAAAGAATCCTACCCATAATAGAATCACAAAATCTTCTTACCCATCAATTTGGATTTCGTTTCCAGCATTCCACAGTTCAATAAGGACTCCGAATTGTTGACCACATATCCTCAGCCTTAGAAAGCAAAGAGTATTGCTCGGGAGCATTCCTGGACATTGAGCAAGCTTTTGACCGCGTATGGCACACCGCACTTCTCATCAAGCTCAAAACCCACCTACCCCAGTCCTTATATCTAATACTCTGATCCTACCTCTCTGACTGCTCCTTTCGAGTTTGTTGTGGTACAGAATTCTCCAACTGCCATTCAATTGAGGCGGGAGTTCCTCAAGGCAGCGTCTTGGGTCCTGTCCTGTACATTCTGTTTACCGCTGATATTCCTACTCATCCCGAAACCCTCCTGGCAACATTCGCTGATGAAACAGCCATCCTATCTTCCAATCCAGATCCTAAAACAGTATCCTCAAACTTACAAAGTCACCTTTCTCTTATTGAACATTGGTGTAATAAGTGCTGCATCCAAGTAAATGAATCCAAATCCAAACACATCACTTTTACCCTTCGGCGCAAGTCCTGTCCAGCAGTCTACTTCAAATCCACACCACTTCCTCTCTCAGACATAGTCCGGTTTTCTTCTTCATGGTCTTGGCTTTGGACATGGTCTTGGCTTTCTTCTAGATAAAAGACTAACATGGAACTCACATACCAGACTTAAAAGACAACAACTAAACAGACGATACGGACAGCTATATAGACTAATGAATAGAAAATCTCATCTTTCAGTCGACAACAAACTACTAATCTACAAGACAATCCTGAAACTTATCTGGACCTACGGACTAGAGCTGTGGGGGTCAACAAAACCTTCTAACATTAAGCGCATTCAATCCTTTCAGTCTCAATTCCTCTGAACAATAGTTGATGCTCCCTTCTGTGTAACAAATAAAACCCTCCATTATAACCTTCATATCCCATTTGTTATTGACCTAATCTCAGACAAATTTTCCAAATTTCACCAGAAACTCACTCATCATCCAAAACCAGTAGCACAATCCATATCTAGCCCCAGCCATCCCTACAATCCTCCCCGGAGGTTAAAACGGCAGTGGCCCCGCGACCTTTTGTAAATATGTGTATTGGAGTACTGGCAATGGCCAGATTCTCCACTCAAGTCCTGAGCATCTGTTGCTCTAGTGCCCTCCATCAGTCTCCACTGGCTTGCAATACCAGTGATGCGGCTGGGAGAGAAACACTGGGATCTCCTAGAGTCCTGCCTTGGCTTCCACATTTGGGGGACAAAGCATGACTCGGAATCCCCTGGGCAAATGTAAATATTGTATATAGGTGTGAATGTGTTTTATATATTTCAATTTCATTTAGTTTCTCTCTATTTTGTTTTTTTATTTTACCTATGTATGTTACGTTCGGGCTTAAAACAGGAGGATTCCCTGTCGCCTGTCCTGTTCAATTTGGCATTAGAACATGCCATTAGGGAGGTAATGCGAACCGAGAAAGGGTTGGATCTGGGCGGGACAACACCCGTGCTGGGCTATGCTGATGATCTGGTACTGTTAAGCGAAGACGTTGAAACTATAAAACTAAATACGACAACATTAATGAAAGCCGGGAAAGAACTAGGACTCGAAATAAACGTGGATAAAACAAAATATATGGTTGGCTGCAAAAATGGCGATACTACTGGTTATATCGATATAGATGGTAATATGTTTGAACAGGTAGATAAATTTAGGTATCTAGGTTCAACGATAACTAGAAAAAACGAAATTGAAGAAGGGATTAAGGTTAGACTGAAGGCGGGAAATGCTTGTTATTTTTCTGTGACGAAACTACTTAGTTCGCGCCTCTTGTCCCGGAACTTAAAAATTAGAATCTATAGAACAATTATCTTGCCTACAGTTCTTTATGGATGCGAAACTTGGCCGCTTACATTAAGGGATGAGCAGCGTCTTAAGGTTTTTGAAAATAAAGTATTGCGTAGAATATTCGGACCGAAGAAGGATGAGTTAACCGGAGAGTTCAGACGGTTACACAACGCCGAATAGGGTGAGCTGTATCCGGGTAATATAATTGAGGTAATTTCATCGCGGCAAATCAAATGGGCTTGTAAAGTTGTTAGGCTTAGTAACGAGAGAATCCCTAAAAGGTTAATATTTGCTGTGCCGAATGGTAAGCGTCCGAGGGTTAGACCGAAGCAAAGGTGGGAAGATTGCATTAAAGCCGATCTGAAGGGACTGGGTTTGGACGGCAAACAGTGGAGGGAGGTGTGTAATAAGCGATTGGTGGTGTCGGCATCGAACCTTCGGGTTCGCTAAGCCTTATTATTATTATTATTATTATTACCTATGTATGTTAATTCTCTTATTTTACTTTCCACAACTCTTTTTCTCTTATCTCTATTTTAGTTATCATTTGTATGTATATATTGTGTGAATGTTTAATGTAGCCCTAATATTAATGCCCTCCAATGCGGCAGAATGTATTAATTTTTAAATAATAAAAAAACTTCTAAAGCTAAAGCTATTTTCTGTTATCACATTTACTGAATATAAATTTTTCTTAATACCGTTGTAAATATAAATAAATGAAAAAAAAATATTAGTTTATATTTATTATTATTATTCTATTAAAATATTATGTTTTTCCATATTACTGTTACAAATTATGTTAGGTCTTTAAAGCAAACTGTAGATAAAATTATCGGCAAGTATAAGCTGCTCCATCAAAAATTTGAAAATAAAGTGTTATAATTTTGCAAGACTTTACATCATAGTTTCATATTTTTTACAAAATTTCTTAGGAAAGAGCTTTTGTTTGAATGTTAAAGGTATATATAGCATTATTGGCTATAGATTATGTCCACTTCCTTGCGCAAAAAATCTTTATTTTTGAAGGCATTAATAAATTAAATCCTTCAATTTTTAATATATTAAATGTCTGCTATTCCTGATTCCCAGAAATTATTGAGGCTAAACTGAAAATGTTGTTTACAGATTGGTTCAGCCAATGTCATCAATATCATATCTTGCAAAAATAATAGACAAAGATTGCTATGTTCTGTGTTGTTTCTAAAGCCAAATGAAGTTATGACATTAAAATATATTATATATATATATATATATATATATATATATATATATATATATATATATATATATATATATATATATATATTTATACTACAAGTGTAGAATTGAATTTAAAGGTAATGTCAATAGATGTGAGGTAAAATTGAAATTGTGCAAACAGTTTATAAACTTAAAGCTACTGCTCCAATCCCTAACCAATTCTTTGTAATTTTTTGTATCTTGTTCTTTCTAGCCCTGATGAGAACCTACAATGTAGGCCAAAATAAATATTACACCAATATAGTATGTTTGTGATTGTTGACCGCACCACCCAACTAATTAACCTTTAAATTAGAACTAATCATTCCTATACCATCAGAAAAAATAAAATATTTTAGTATACTTAAGCTAATTGTGGAGCACACTAAGATACATGATACTTGGGTAATTCTTTTGTTTGTTTTTTTGTGATGGTGTACATATGTACATAAGTCAGCGACCATTTATCTCTGAGGCACTTTTACCTACCTTTTCTAGACAGAGCCTTTCAAATTAAAATTTGATTGCTAAATTTTTTTTTTATTTTTGGAGATAAGTTTTTCTGTTACAAATTGGTACCTGAAACTTTTCTGTTATTTGAGAATAATCTCTATAAAATATCTTCATTTACTACGGTAGTAGGGTATGATTTTGATACTCTGTATAAAATTCTCTTTTTTTAATTTCATACATAAACATTATCATTTTTGTTTTTTATTAGTTGTCAATGCAAAAACATAAAATAAAGACTAGGGTCTGGTATGATACTTTTTTTATTTATTTTGTGTAATTCTATAGTGAATGAAATATCAGAAATGAAAATTAAATCCAAAGCATTTTGATAAGATGAGAAAAAATCTTAAATAAGGACACATATCCCTTCGTAAGGTACAATTATATTCGTGAGTGTGAATATTTGGTTTTTCTTATAAAAAAAAGTTTATAAAAACTAGTTATAGTATCTTCCTAAAAAAAAAATTGCTGAATTCTGTATGGATTTTTCTTATTTTTTGTAAAATAATTGTACTAATAAATTTCTCTCATTTTAGGCTGCTGATTTAACTAAGCCTGTTGATAAAAAGATGTACAAAGGGACAAATCCTACTTGTCATGACTTCAATACCACTAATATGACTAGTGACTCAGTTTCCCTTCTTGTAGGTTTTTCTACTGGTCAGGTTCAATTGATTGACCCTATAAAAAAGGAACTGAGCAAACTTTACAATGAAGAGGTAAGATATGTATATACATTTATCCTTTTTTTTAGATTATGACACATACGTATATTGCCAATTTAGGTACATTTAATATATATATATATATATATATATATATATATATATATATATATACATGAATAATATTATATTATATTTAATATTGTTGCCCATCAATGAAGCTTTCCAGTCAAGAAATATATGACTGATATCAAACTCTTATCTTTTCCACATCTTCTCTTACTTTATGTTCCTACTTTAGTTTTCTCCTTCATTAATTCTTAATTGGTTAACCAAAATTTTGTATTTGAGGTCTAGAAAAATGACCAATCTTTGATTCCTGATTGGTTTTACTGTTTACAATATCCATATCATTCATCTTAATTTCATATTTCTTGATCTTCTTTTCCCATCTTTTTAATATATAGTGACCTCTTGGTTCCACCGTTTCTTTCAAGATTCCCTAACCATTTATTTGATTTTTGTGGATAATTTTTAGTTGTATATTTACATTTATCTACAAAATTATTAATGCCCTTTTCTTGATCTTACCAGTCTAAAGTAAATGGCTGACATGAAACATTGCATTTATTAATTAATTATGACCCATCGCCTTCAGTTAATTTTTTCTAGTAGTTTAAGCTGATATATCAGCTTAATGTAGAGCAAAAACTTAGCTTAATATTTTGTTTTTTAAAATTCACTTTGACTGATTATCCTGACAATGTATAACCCTTATATATTATACAGTTTAACCATTCATCATTCCAAATTTTCTCGTGTAAAATTTTAAATGCCTGCCCAATGAAAGCTTGAGGTTTTACATAAAAAGTTAATTCCTGGTAGATATTGTGACATTATTATTTAGTCAACTCTTTTCTTTAAAAAGTTATCCAAGGCAAACAGAAAGTTTTAATAAGTCAAGCCAGTAAATAAGATAGAGCTATGATTTTATGTTGTGAGCAGATCCTACACAATCAGTCTGGAATGGGAAATCTTATCACTGACAAGAATAGCTCCAATCACATACACTAGTTCCACATGTAATATCAGTCAGATTGGCATCATTTTAGTTCTGTTGAAGTTGAAACATCAGGCAAAGTGGGTCTGGTGCCTTATCTATTAATATCTTTAATAAAAATAATTTTCAAAAATTCCTTTAAATATATATGAAAAATAAAATTCAACTATTTATAAATTAGAAATAAATTTATTGCTTAGTTAATAAATGTGTTGAAAAGAAAAGTAAAATGCTAACAAATAGCACACACAACGGTTAAGAATTAAGTTTCTGTGTAAGTAAATGTGAACAATCATCCATTTTTTAAATTTGTTACCTTCTTCTTTTTCTTCCTCTTCATGTCGTTACTAGCGTCGAGGAGCCTCTATCCAATGCAGCCATGTCTCTCGGTCCCTACTAAGCCGCCTCATTTCCTGGAGGGTTTTGCCTCTCTTCTCTCAAATCCGCTGCATATACTCCTGACAGGAAATTTTAGGGCAGCCCCTCGGCCAAATTTGTTACCCATTTTTCTAATATCACAGAAAAAGAAAAAAGTATTTTTTTTCTGTTGGAATTACAGACCATGTTGATCTTTTGCTGCCTTAACAAGCCTGCTCCATCTCTGCCACAGCTCTATTGAATCTTTGTTGATTCCATCTATCCATCTGCTTTTTGGACTTCTATATGGTTTTTTCCCTTCTATTGAGGCATTCATTGTTACTTAGAGGCTTCCAGATGGATTGCTATGAGCTACATGCCCCACCCATCTTCCGTGCCTTCATATCATGGGATATTGATTGACCATTTTCTGTAAGCAGTTCTTTATTGATCTTTTTCCTCCATGTGTTAGTACTCTGATTTCAAATCGCTCTGGTTATTATACGGAGTATTTTTCTCTCAAATCTTTCAACACTTCTAGGGTGAAATGAAAATAGATTTTTATTATCCTGGGACTGTTGTCCCCTTAGGACAAATTATAGATACAGAGGAAATGCCTGTGTGGCCATAAAATTAAATTAAATATTTACAATTCTCATCAAAATTAAAATATTGGAAGAAGAATAAAACAAAAACACTAAAAACATGTAAAAAAAATAAAATAAAATATAGGGTGCTGGTTAGTGTCCAGGTCTCACAGCCATATATAAGAAATGGCTTTATCATAAAGCATTGTACACCCTTAATTTGAGATGTCTTGAGGTTTTTTCAGGATTTCAATATCTTTGAAATGGAGAAGAAACCTCTAACAGGGTTTCTTCTCAACTTTTCTCTAACAGGGCTTAAATGGCTAATTTTCAATATTAGTTTCCTCTAAAGTACCTTTAATTTTTTTTTTTTAAACAATTGACCATTTTACATTTATCTCTAATATAAAAGATATTTAAACATTAGATATGAAAGAATTTGATAATTAACTAAAGGAGAAATAAAAGATCTTAACGGAGCATAGTTGTAATTGAGGAACCAAATAATTACGAGTGTGCCCTAGCTCGCCCGAAAGATTAGAACAGGCTTCCTTACGTAACATGAGCTTAATATAATACAGACTGCGACAATATTATGTAAATATACATATGTGGTTTTCATAAATACTTTTGTTGGTATTATTTAATATTTAATTGTATAGAGTACAGCGATATAAATATTAAAATTTGTATTTATAAGGGTACTTATACAAATAAAAATAACCAAAATTAATATAAATAAATATAGCGTCTATAATTTTTACTTTCACTTCCCCGTTGTCTGAAAAAACTTATTTCTGCCAAGAAGAGGGTGATATTTGAAAGTTGTGTGATGCGTGCACTGCATGAGATTTTTTTATACTTAGATTTAGAATTAACATAAAATGGTTCAAAGCACAGTTTTCTCTCTAAACAATTAGTAATATGTTTTGTCTTTGATTTGTATAAGCTTTATCTTTATTCAACCAATGACCTGACTTTTTTTAATAATCATGGAGGATCCATTTTGTCATCATCGTGCTACTGATGCAAAAAAAGAGTCATTGTCATTCTGAGATAAAATAAAAAAAATTAATTTCATATTGTTTATCTTGTAATTCGTACAACTTTTTCTATATGGCATATTACTATAAATTATGTTGCCATTGAGTTACAAACTAGCTTTTTGACAACTTGATTTCATTATTTTTTAAAATCTGTTTTTATTAAAAAATAATACATTCTGTTACACTTAAAGACAATAACTACTGGAGCTATATTCATATCATTGTTAGACTTTTCATTACAATATATGTATGTTTTGCATAAAATACATACCCATTTCAATACGTATCACTGCTATAAATGCATTGTTTCCATATTCATGTTTATGGCAGCATTAGAGCTTATTTTAATATGATTATATCACTTTTTCTTTTACTGAAGTTTATTTTTCCTTCAAGTAGGTCTTGCATGAGCTATAGTTTCTTCAAATGTTAATTTTTTTATATTAAATGGTGTTTATTTGCTGTAGTATGATATGTTGTTACAATAATATTATTGGAATAAATTGTGAATTGGATTTTGGAATGTCACCTTCTTTCAAGAAAATTTGATAGTGTTTGATCACGGTAATTTGGTGTAAGCCAATATTACCCATTGACGTATAATTGATTGATATTGCGCTGGTTATTGTGAGAATCGGTGTGGATTATATGAGATAAATCACTGAAATTTAATACATGATTAAATTAAACAAATGATTCAGAACAGGATTTGATTCAGAATAAAATTTGTGCACTTGTACAATTTTGTTGTTCTTGACAGATGAAGTACATATTGCTGCTTGTGAAATTAAAATTTTGTCATATGACATTGCCATGCTGGAAGTGATTTTGCTTCTGATTAAAATTTTATTATTAATCTGGACTCACTTCTTTTCTTGGCCTCCTATTCATCCTCACCATACTTCCTCCATCAGGCTGTTTTCTTGGAGTTTAGCAACTCATTTTCTTTTTTTTATAATTTCTGGTGAAAATAAATGACAGTGTGCACACTTCACCAGTGACTTGGATTAACTGTGTAGGAAAACTTTGTATCAAAATGGAGGCCAATAAAATGGTGGTTAAGTCCGAATTATGTAGAACTGTTTTCTTCCTTTTGTTTTTGTGTTTCAGGGGTTGATCTCTTAATAGATAGAATTATGCATTATTATCAATCATTCACATAACATTTTAATGTATATCTAGGTTTATGAACTTGTTTATAACTTTTGAATAATTACCTTGAATCTGAATAAATAATTGGAATCTTGACATTCCCACTCTGGTAACTAAGCGGCGGCAACCTCAAGGTAGCCATCAGGGATTGGCAAAAAGGACTATGTGGCCCACTTTCCTGCTGGATTAGTTCCCCCACCAACACCATTATTGATACCAGTGAGTTTAAATAAGGAAAGTTGACAAAAGTGGCCAACATTTGAAAGTTGGACTGTTCATTTACATGATAATTAATAAGATTCTATTTATCAAAAAAAAAGGAAAGAATTTGTGATCAAACTTGAAAATAAATCTAGGATTTGCTTATCGTTGACCACACATTGTTACTTCCCACACCATGGTGGCTACTATTCAATAGACTCTTTAAAAAAAAAATGAACCTCTAGCTTTGTAGACTTAATTGCAGTATTACTCCTTATCATTTCAAAATTAATAACTAACATTTATATTTTTTATTCTCAAAATATATTTATATTTTCATTCATTCTTTAACTTTAATTAATTAATAATAAATGACCATTATTCTTATTAATTGTGTTTTTAATTTAGAGATTAAAATGTTTTTGTTTACATTTAACAGAAATACATTTACTGTATATTGAACTTAATGTTTAATGACATTTGGTAGTTAAGAATAAAAAAAAGTAGAAGGCTTATAGAACTTTTAAGTATTATTTATTAATTCATATTATCACTTCAATAAAATTTTGAAACATTAAAAAATATATTATGAAATCTGTTGCTTATACAACTTTTTATTTTTTAGAGAATGATTGATAAAACCAAAGTGACTTGCATAAGATGGGTTCCTGGCTCTACAAATTTATTTCTTGTGTCACACAGCAGTGGACAGCTGTATCTGTACAATGAAGAATTACCTTGTGGAACTTCACCTCCTAATTATCAGCCTTTCAAACAAGGGGACTCTTTCGCTATACATACATGTAAAACTAAAAGCACCAGAAATCCCTTGTATAGGTGGGTGATTGGGAATGAAGGAGTTAGTATAAACGAATTTGCTTTTTCTCCATGTGGAAGCTATCTAGCCATTGTTTCACAGGATGGTTTTTTGAGAGTGTTTCATTATAATACAATGGAATTAGTTGGGAGTGCCCGCAGTTATTTTGGAGGATTTTTATGTGTTTGTTGGTCACCTGATTGCAAATATATAGTCGTTGGTGGTGAAGATGATCTAGTGACAGTATGGAGCTTTGTGGAAAAGCGAGTTGTAGCTCGGGGGCAAGGTCACCACAGTTGGGTTAGTGTAGTCGCTTTTGATTCATACACTTCAACTTTTGCCATTGGAAAACACCAAGAGTGGAATGAAAACACCAGTCCTTCTGAAAATAAAGTAGATACCTGTTACAGATTAGGATCAGTTGGACAAGATACACAGCTTTGCTTATGGGATATTACCGATGATATTTTGAGGCAGAAACCATGTAGTAAAACCCGAAATACAGTCGTTAGTGGTTCAGTTTCTCCCTCTAGCAATTCAAATAAGACATCACAAAATACATGTGCAAATAAAGAGAAAGATGGTTTAGAAGCAATTTCTAGTTTTACACATAGACTTGGGATTGGATTTGAGAAGAAAGACAATATAGGACATAAAAGGAGTCTTTCCAAAGGTACTACATTGCAACTAACAAATAATTCTTCAGATGATCCTATGAGGTTAATTGGAACCAACAGTTGTCCAAGATTTGATGAATGTCCTATAATGGAACCATTAGTTTGTAAAAAGATTGCTCATGAGAGATTAACTGCTCTAGTTTTTAGGGAAGATTGCTTTGTTGCTGCATGTCAAGATGGGTATGTTTACACCTGGGCTAGACCTGGTAAAATGGTCAGTGATGGTGATTTTGTAACATTTTCATAAAATTTTATTATTAAATGTGTATATAATTATATTTTTAAAAAGATAGACTCACTATTATGTAATGATGTAAATAGCTAATTTCTAGTGAAATATTGTGTAATCATAATAGATTAAATATTTTTAGATGATTGCATTCTTATAACTACTCTTTCATACCTAGGAAATGTAGCTAAGAATTTTATATTTATTATCTTAAGATAAAAAGTTCATAACTATTGTACTCCATAATGTTGCTAGGAGGTACATATTTTGTTATATACTACCATCAACTCAATCGTGACAATTTAGGAGTATTTGTTAACTCGTTCACTGCCTTAAATGTGCCTTGTACAATTCTTGTATTTAATCAAAGAATTTTATGATATTCTTTGTTCCTCGTGTGTTCTGTTTTTCTTTTCTTTTCTTGTAGTGATTAAATATCTCTTTTGTATTTTCTTTATTCAGGTTTATACACCTTTTGCTTTCATCCTTGTTTTTTCATTGATAGTAATGACTATAGCCCATTCTTAGATTTTGGATGATAGTATGTAAAGGTTTGGTATTTATAAATATTATGTGTGTGTGTGTGTACATGCATACATATGCATACAATTATATAATTTAGGCCTATCAGTTTTAATTTTCGAGAGTCTTAATGTAATTGATAGATGTTATTTCAGTCATATGTTACCGCATCATTGATTATTTGTTTAAGCAAAATGTAAAAATGGCTTTATTTTAAGGAAAAATAAATTATTAGATAATAGAAAACAAACTTTTTTGTAGGTTGTTTTAGTTATATTTTCATTTTATTTTTTTAAAGTAGACTTATATTTCGAAGTGTAAATAGTCTGATCATAAATAGGCTATATAGTATATTAATAAATATTGTAAAAAATACAAAACCATCATTCTATTAGTCTACTAGAATGTGGGAAGGAAGGGTGAACTAATTTTGTGATTTTTATCTCTTAACATGTGTAGTAATTTTTAAGAACATTCAAATCTTGCTATGTTATTATTACTATATGACTTAGGAGAAATGTTTATTGTTTGGTAGATTTTAATGTATGATGTATTTAAACATACTACTGTTTCATATCATTGAATATCGTATTAATTATTCCAAACCTAGTTCTTAAACAATACAAAGTAGTGATATTACAATATTGTTAATGTATTTTTTTCTTTTTTTTACTGATATTATTAACTGAACATATGTGATAATTTATAAACTAATTAATACTATATACATACAGCTGTAATGTGATTTTATGATAATTTTAAGATAACTTTCTTTTTTATTTATTTTTTTCAATCCTTATTTAGTGTTTTAATTTTTTTTAAGACAATTTTTGGTGAGCATAAATTTTCGATTGTCAAATATTGTTTGATTCATTCATATCTTCATGTTAATAACTATGCTCAGTACAATAGTTAGCTATTAGATTTCTGGTTTAGTAAACCTGTTCATGTTTTATTATTATTGTTATGGGCTTTGTTAAATTATTTTGAAAAAAATTCTTTATTTAATTTCATATTTCACTTGTGTGTGTGTATGTGTGTTATAGAGAAAGAGAATATATGTGTGTGCATGTATGATTTTGTAAAAAGATAAAGTATATGAAGTTTTTTTCCCTTATTTTACTATTACTGCTTTCAATCACCTTTGCATTGCTTTAACATGTTTTAGGATTTTTTTTTATAAACAGTATCAATTCCAAATGGTATTGATATGAAAAATATTTACAAGAACAGTTAAATTAGTTCGTCTCCTAGGGACATTCCTGAAAATCGATTAATTTTAATCATTCTCATTTGCTTTGAATCACTATTTTAGCATGTATCGATATAATGACATGTTCCTAGCATTTAGTGTTATAGTTATGGCTTCCAACTTGTAGTGAGATCTTCATGTTTTTTTTATGTGAGAGAGGTTGTTTTTTATTTGATATGTGCAAGATCCTCAGATTTTTTTTATTGCACTAATTTTCCTTTTGTTATTTACATTTTTTCTTTAGTTACAGTTAAAAATATTCATTGTATCAAGGAACATGAATTAATACATACATTACTGTTTCTACAGATTTAATAATTTATTAAATGTTATTTTATATATATATATATATATATATATATATATATATATATATATATATATATATATATATATATATACACGTATACATATACATATGTTTAGGCAACTTTCCAAATTTAATATGAATAAAGGCAAATAACTGTAATGAGTTCAACATTGGCAACATTTAACTTATTTTGGTAGGTGACTGTATTTTGATGAAATGGTAGGTTATATGAATTGTGTAAAATAAACTCACCCTTTTATGTTGGCATTGACATCTTGCTTAACCGAGAAGGCCTTTCAGTTTGCTTCAGCTGATGCCTCTGGGATGGAATGGGGGGAGTGCATCTGGAAGCTGGCGTGGATTAAATTTTATATTTTAGATCTTATCTGATCTGTCCCCACTACTTGCCACAACGTGACTACAATATTGGGGCGCCTGGTACATGCTATATGACCGGGAGCCTTGTTCTTGTGATTATAAAAAGAAATGTTCTGTGGAGGAATACTTGTGAATGAATAAAATGGTTACGTGCAGTTTGATGAGGGGGCCGGTCTCGCGCCTTATCTCTCTCCATCCGCCGTTCGTCCAAAGTCTTGGAGCTGGTGTAGCCAAAGGGCTGTAATTCTTGAGTTCTGGTTACGTCTAGTTCTGTACTTCGTTCGCTAGCATCTGGACCTTAGGCATAGATGTCGCCGTCTTAGTGAGAGGGTAGTACAGGATGAGACTGGGGGACCCCGTGTTATTTACACAATACAAATAATATTAACAATAAAATTTGTGGATGTAAATCCAACAGTGACAATTGGGCACAATAGCTCTCACACAAAAGATATCCTTCACCGTGAAATATCTCATTTCACAACCTAAAAATAGAAAAAACATAACTCGTGGATAGGTAATTACCAGGCAAGGCACAAACAAGAGGAAAATAGCTTGGTTTACAATAAAGAAAAAGACATATTATTCAAAATATATTTTTGGAAAATTAGAAATAAAGTGGGCCAGATCAAAGATAGGCTAATACTTTACAATTCACTTAAAATAAAATGACTCCTCATTAAATTTAAGCAAAGAAAAAAATATACATATCAATAAAAGGTTTCTCCAGAAGGGAGGGCACTAATTTGTGCACCAGTCGCATCAAAGTGGCTGTAGCTGTCCTTAATTTTACCACCCTAACTACGCCATCAGATAGTGTCTCTATTATCCTGGAAAGCCGTCACTCCTGCAGTGGAACATCTTTTCCATGTAGAATAACAAGGGTACCCTCTTTTAAATTCCCCTTGTCAGTATACCATTATTTACGAGGCACCAGATTGTGAAGGTACTTGTTATACCATCTCTTCCAAAAATTATGAAGAGTCTTGGAAATCATCTCCCAATGGCTTGTTAGAGGAAACACAGGCGCGTCTTCTTGTCTGGCTAGAAGGGGTTGACCTATAAGAAAGTGTCCTGGAGTGAGTATGGTTGAGAAAATATCTGACGAAACGTTAAATAAGAAAGAAGCCTGGATTACTTTAAATGTTTCTTTGAGTAACGTAATTGCGTATGACCAAGATGTTATAGAATTTGAGTTACTTTGGTTCCAGTCAGCAGCTATAAAGGATAAAAGATGTGGTAGGCTAGCAAGTGCACTGGTTTCTTCAAGATTCTTGTCTTTTGTAAAGTTTGATACCTGATATGAACCAATCCACGTCTGAGAGTCCATCAAAACGAAACGGACAATCTAGGAGACTTCCTTTCGGGTGACTCTCTTCATTAATGCTTTTAATAGCTTCATAAGTGGTTGTCGCAGTGGATGAAAGTATCTCTTTGAGGTTGTTTTCGGTGAGATGGTACGATTTTCAAGACCGTGTCTTTAAGATGCCATATTGGATATCGGTAGGGTTCTAAGAGAAGTATTTTTGAGAAATAAATTAAGTATCAATCACAATATATTATTGATGTGATTACAATTAACTTATTTTCAATATGTAATTATTATTACTGTTCCATTGTTACAAACTATGATATGAACAAACTGAATATCAACTTCATGACTTAAAAATATATCACTCAATGAGCTGATTCCTACACTCATTTTGCCACAAAATATGCCCTCAGTCTTCTGTTAAGCCACTATTTTTATTTATTTATTTAATTTTTGCATTAATATAGTTATAATGGTAGATAATTGTTGACTGTTGGGAGATATAGTTGAAGAGAAGATCGTTGGAGATTGTAGTAATTAGAAGTACAAAATAAAAAGGATTATATTAATTTTCTTTGATCCGACATTTAGACCTAAGTTCCATTGCTGCTTTTTCGAAGGACATCAGATGAGCAACAACTACTAGCGGATCCAGGATTTAATTTGGGATGCCAAAGCATTATGTCTTCCGAATAACAGTAAATAATTAATTGGTCACCATTTTCCCAATGTTGACATTATCAGGACTAAAAATTGCAAAATCTATATATTAGTTCAACATATCCTCTTTTTATCTTTTAATGATAAACCTACTGATAAATGTTCTCTCTTTATTTAATTGTTACATTTTTTTTTTTTTTTTATTGTTTCCTCTCATCAACTATATATGTGTGCGTGTTTTCTGATGATTTTGAGATTTAGCCAAAAAAAAAAAAAAAATAATATTTTGGCGATGTGTCGAGATTTTATTGTCATTTTTATCAACAAGTTTTTGGAGGAGTTGGATAGAAATAAACAAGGCCAAGACCGCGAGTTGGGCGATCGCCCCTCCAATAAAAATGTTGAGGGGTAGAAAATATCGTTTCCCCCAACCAATAATTTGATCTAAAAAAAAAAAAAAATTAAAAACGATAATAAATAAGATACATGAATGAATATATGTTAACTAAAACCGTGTAAACTAGGCTGGCTATACTGAGGCTTAGTAGTAGGTATGTATATGAACTATTTTATTAATACGTAAATGTAACTTTTATTTAAACTGTCATTTCTATTCAGAGACAATAATATATATCAATCTAGGATTTGATGATTCAATTTTCACGTGATATTCTTTTCACATTTCCCGTGAATGTTTTGAAACAATTTGAGCACAAAATATTTAAAAACATTTTTATTATAGTTTAGGTATCTTGATTATTAATTGATTTGAAATGATAACATGTGATCATTTAGTCAGCACCATGTTAAAGTAAGAAATAAGCAACGTTGGTCATGCTCTAATATTTGTTATTATAACAAGGTGCCGACGATCACTCACTCACTCCGGGGCGCTATAGCCCTACAAGGGCCTGGGCCTCCTCTACAATCCTACTCCACTCTTCCCTATCCTGGGGGAGTCTCCTTCATCTTCTGATTTCCATCTCTCTCAAAACTCTCTCCATAC